GGCCCGGGCTGGGGATTCGAACCCGCCACCTTAGGTGTATGTGGCTGGCGCCTTAACCACTTGAGCCACAGGCGCCAAGCTATAGCTTTTCATTTTTAAGTAGTCAAATTTGCTGTCTTTTATGACTTCTAACAGTCTCAGAAGAACACCCCTCACAACAAAATTATACAAAGTAATCTATACATTCTTCTCAAAACTTTATAGGGATTTTTAATCCATCTGGAATGTATTTTTAAATACGGTGTTAGTCATTTTTTCGTGACTATCAATTGTTTCAACATCATTTGTTGAGCCCATTCTTCTCTCCCAATTTGAAATTCCACTTCAGCACATCCCAGGTTCCCATACATATGTAGGTAGGACTATTTTGTTGCATTGATCTAGTCCTCTCTTCCCATGTCAGTACCACATGGCTAACAGTACCTTATTGCACTTTATTTTTTAGAGCAGGGAATACAGATCTACCCTCCCCCACCACCACCACCAAATGTTTATCAGCTATTCAACACCCTGATTGTTCCAAATGAACTTTAGGATTATTTGGTGAAGTTCAAAAAAAAAAAAACTGCACTTTATGGAAATTGCATTGAATTTATAGGTTGATTTGGGGAAAATTAACATCCTTAAAAATAAAGGCTGGACATTTAGCAACATGGTTCCTCTTCATTTATGCAAGTTTTGTTTTTGTTTTGGTCCACCAGTAAGCATTTATAATTTTCACCATACATTTCTTGTTAATTTTATTCCTAGGTACTTTAAGGTTTTGTTGCCAACCTGAGGTGAGAAAATTTTTTTTCATTTTTTTTTTTTACAGTTTTTTTTTTTTTTTAAACAGAATTTCACTTTGTGGCCCTAGGTAGAATGTTGTGGCATCATAGCTCACAGCACCCTCAAACTCTTAGGCACAAGCGATCTTCTTGCCTCAGCCTCCCAAGTAGCTGGGACTACAGGTGGGACAACACCTGGCTATTTTTAGAGACTGGGTCTCCCTCTTGCTCATGCTGGTCTCAAACTCCTGAGCTCAGGCAATCCACACACCTCAGCTTCCCAGAGCGCTAGAATGATGGGCTTGAGGCACCACAATTGGAAGGTATAAACAATCGCACCCAGAATGAGAGGGAGTGGGAGACCAGAGCAAAAGTTGAGGTCAGGTTTATTGAACGGGGAAAGATCTACCTGCCTGGGTAGTGCTAAGATGGCGTCCAGCCTGGGCGGGGACAGTTAGAGACATCTTTTATATGGGGCATAAGGAGTGGGAAGATTTCACAGCTTGCCCAGAAGGCTTCGGTGGGTTAAGATCCTTCAGTGTAAACTTTGGGGGTGGGGCTAAGTAGATCCTTTGTCTGCTGGGTCTTTGCAGGAGAGGAAGTGTGAAGAGGGTTCCTTCAGCGCTATTGGGCCTCCTTTTACATTAAAAAAGCTTTGCATTCTCAGAAAACAAATAAAAACAAAAGCTTTGCATTCTAAGCACAGTGACTCCGCTGGACTCTAAACCTAACAGTTTTTCTGTTGAGTCAATGTAAGCTTTCTCAAAACAAATCTAATGTGGTGTCTCCAGGATAAAGTTTAACCCCTTTTTATGGCACATACCTCACCTGACCTTGCCCCTATACTCCACCCTGCCCAGCCTTCCCCTACCTGCTCTCTACTTTCCCGGACAACCTACTTTCCACACCTTTACACCTTGGCACATGCTGTTCCTTCTGCTTGGAATCCCTTCCCCATTTCCCTCCTGCAACTTACCATTTTAACTTTTTCTTTTCTTTTCTTTTCTTTTTTTTTTTTTGGTTGCAGCCATCATTGTTGTTTGGCGAGCCCGGGCTGGATTCGAACCCGCCACTTTAGGTGTATGTGGCTGGCGCCTTAGCCATTTGAGCCACAGGTGCCGAGCCGTTTTAACTTTTTCTTCAAACTTCACTCAAGTCACTTTCTTAGGAAAGCCTTCCCTGACCTCCCATCCCAGATTGGATCATTCTGCTTACTATATTGTAGCTCTAGCACTACTAAAATGTTTTTCCTGAAGTAGTATTGGTTCATTTTGAAATAAATACAATAAAGATTAAAGAAGGAAAAAATGATTTTAATTTCTTCAGCAATTTAGTATTCACTAGAGTTGCTTTAAAAAAAAAAAAAAGGTTTAGAAGTCCAGCTGACAGTTGCAGGTCTGTTAAGTATCCTGAAAATGGTCTTGATAGGTCTCCCACTTATGCTCAAAAGACCTGACAAGTGCACCTTGAAGACAGGGAGAGCCTGCTACGAGCAGGGCCCAGGTTCAGTTCTGCCACCCATGAAGTCACACCCACTCTATGCCTGGGACTCAGCCACAAGCCACATATACTGGCTCTGCCCCTCTAAGGTTCCTTAACACCTGTTACCTGCCATCAGCCCCCATCAGTTTCTCTCCAAGGACAACCCCAGGGGGTCGCTTCCTCTAGGGCCACTTAAGCCTAAGGTTTCTATAACTGGCGCGCATAGAGAGGGCATTTGGGCTTTGTCTCCAGATCCAAGTTGTTTGTCCTTTCTTTTCAACACCGAGGTCCATCTTTTGAGTTTTAAGCGATACGGAGATTTTTCTCAAAGCCCAGGTGGCTCACCCTCAGGATTCCCTAGGAAAGGCGGCCCGCCCAGCCTTTGTTGTCTAAACTGCACAAGGAGCCATATTTGCTTTCAGTACCAGGCAGGCATGGTCCCCGGAGACATAAGGGCCGAGCAAACCAGACTTCAGCCTCGCGCTTCTACTTCTCTTACATTGTACTCCCTCCTAGACTTTGAGGAAGGGAAAGTGCGCTCTTTCCTGGCTCAACTTGATTCACTCGGCCCCCAAGACCATGTTTCCACCTTCCACTTTCTCAATTTGCAGTAGGGTGTGGTGGCTGCCTCTCTACAGCCTTCATTTTTAACAATGTCCTTGGTCAAGGGCCTCGGGATGCCCCTTTGGGACCTAAGTGCACCCCGATGCACTTTCAAGGCCTAGGACGCCAATAGCGTAGGGGATCCAAGGTGGGCATCCAGGGCCTCCTCACAGCTTCCTTCCAAGCCCACTAAGCGGGACCCTAGAGGCACAGAGACGCGCCCCAACCTCCGGCCCGCTCTGATCGGCCCCGGCCCCGGCCCCGGCCGGGATCCGATCTCCGCCAGCTCCGCTAGCTTCCCCGGCCAACTCCGACCCCCGCGGCAGCCTCCCTCCCCCGCCGAAAAAGGCAGGACCTGCCGCCCACCGGAAGAAGCGGGGCGGGGCAGCGGGCAGCGCTGATTGGCCCGGGGGCCTGACGCCGCCGCCGCTATAAGACTCGGCTCCCGGACCGTTGCGCCAGACGTTCTTCGCCGAGAGTAGCCGCGGTTTCCTGCTTCAACAGTGCTTGGACGGAACCCGGCGCTCGTCCCCCATCCCGGCCGGCCGCTCACAGCCAGCCTTCCGACACCTCCTCACCGCGCCCTCGGACCGTCCCAAGGCCCCCGCCGCCGCTCCAGCGCCGCGCAGCCGCCGCCTCTCCTCAACCGCCGCCATGACGACCGCATCCCCCTCGCAGGTGCGCCAGAACTACCACCAGGACTCGGAGGCC